CTTGCAGGGGGTCACTGCTTTTTACATTAAAAAGTCACTTAAATATATTTCTATTGTAATAATTATATATATTGTTCAAATTTAGAAACTGTAAATGCTTCCCTTATCTATTCAGATGGTCACTTTCCCTTTTTGCTGTCCTCCACATGCTCTCCTCACCCTTGTAACAGCTATTTATAATTTACTAGTTCATCTTCTCTACTAAAATGTTGTGAACTAGTCCATAGCTGCCACTTCCTTTTTACATTCATAAGTAAATTTAGAGAGACCTACAAGGGACATAAATTTCTCCTGACATAAGCTGGTACAGTGGAAGTTTCATTACATTTTCAGCCCCTCATCCTTCATTCACACTCTCCTTGCCCTAGCCACCAGCCTCTTTTAAGCTCCCCCCTCCTTCCTAATCTCTTATCTTTGTCTTGTTCCTAGACTTAACCTCTACCAGCTGAGTATGGTAGAAGAAGGGAGCTGCTGTTCCTCAGGATGGTCACTGGTAAGAGCTGCTGCAGGGCTGTGACATCAAAAAGGCTCACCCAGGCAATCAAAATGAAGTTTTGGACATACCCACAGTTGCCGCCGCCCCCTCCCCCCCCAGTCATAACTCACCTCACTGCTTTCACAACAAAGTATTACTCATTTTTTAGTTAGTTTTCCCACGATAATTCCAATATTAAAGTCCAGCCAACTGAATGGATGGGTAAGAAGAGAAACCAATATATCCGTCCCTTATACTAACTGACTATGGGACCAGTTTAAAAAGTTACATAAAACAGCTTGCAAACATGAGCAATGGGGAGGACAGTGAAGTTGTCAGCAGTGATAAGGGAAGAGAGATAGCCTAGGAGGAAAAAATGAGAAGTTAGATTAGTGAGAGGATTGGGTAGAACAGCTAGGAGAAGATATCAGTAAGACAAGCTGAGATGTAAGACTGGTTGGGGTGGAGAATTACATTAGTCTGCCGCCGAGAGCAGTGGTTACGTAATGTTCACCAAGAGCATGGATGAGATCACCCGGAGTGTAGAAAGAAAAGTAGTCAGAGCAACAGTGGAAGATAATCAAAGTTATTCTTTCAAGTAGGCCAACAAAGTAGCTATATCATAGTTATAAGAAGACAGTCCACAACAGCTAGTGATTGAATGTGGGCAACCACACCAGAGAAATATTTTGCAGGACTGTTTGCAAAGGGCGATCATATGGCTTAAAGACAATGTTTCAGAAGATGGTATTCTAGTTGAGGAAAATGTGGAAACAAGGACAATTGTTAAAGCCAAATCAGATAAGATGTTAAAAGCAGGAGAGTAAGGATGACCCAGTTTTTAGGATACTGGCCTGGGATTTGGGAGACCTGGAATTCCCTGCTTCACCACAGATTTCCTGTGGGACTGTGGACAAGTCACTTGCTCAACATGTGCCTCTATACCTCATACAATGAGGATAGTAGTACTTCCCTACCTCACAGGAGTGCTGGGAGGATAAATACAATGAGGCCATGTAACTACTAAAATGAAGGGTTAAATGTATATTGATTTAATCAGCTGGAAATTAATTGCTACTATTCACAAGTAATTGGAGCAAAAATTGAAGCAGCTGGTTCTTAGAGACGCTTTATTACAACATTCATTTAAGATTTTTTTAATATTCATTAGTATACCTGAAATTTATGGACATTTTTTAACTGTAGCATTGCAAGTTTCTTACTGTGTGGAGTTGAGTCTAGTTGTATATGCAGACAACTTGTCCAGTTATTGCATAGTGTCTGGAAATAAGGAAAGTAGCTGACACAGTGAGACCAGTTATCCTACTGCTGCAGTTCCTGCCTAGGTCAGTGGTTTTGCTTTTAATTTCAGTTCACTAATGACAGTTTTCAGTTACGTTTTCTGATTTTATGAAAATATTGGGAAACAATTTTTTTTGAGGGGGAAATGTTTGCACTTCACTTATAGAAAGGATGAATGCTGCTGTAACTGACAAAACATTTCTTGTAATAGAATGTGCATGGAATGTAACTTGAGTTTTCCAGAAGTGAACTTTCTAGATATTAATTAGATCACTAAGATACTGATTAATGAAGACAATTAAAATATGTAATGAGACAAGGTGAGTGGATCAGCAGCATTTGATTTCAGACTGTATGGTAATGACAACTGAAGTGTTTAATTGAAACTAGCATCTGTGAATAACACCTGTAGAATAGTTTTAGCCCAAAGCTAGTTTCTTTTAACTTGTCAGTCAAATGGGAGGTCTTGTCTACCTTTTCCATATTTTCTCGTGGACCAAGCATGCTTTCTGCATAAATGGAATTATAAAATGGGCACTTAAAGTATCACTGAGAATTGAAGAGGCTAATGAAGACAAATACAAATATCTGACATTTTTGCCAAGTGTTCAGAACCTTATTAATTCCTTAACAGGATAACATTTTGGGTCAACCTGATTTGGCAGCAATTTGGAAGATAAAAGGCGATCAATGCTCCCCATCACCTGCCTTACCCCTTTTTGATGCTCAAATTCCAAGCACAAGAATCCCAGGTTTAACACCAAGGCCTTCTCAGAGCCTGATGTACTCTCGATGTCTATCATGGCCTACAGCCAGAACAGCCTACTGCCTGAGAAAGCCTTGGCTTTGTAGGATGGCTCAGGCTCACTCACAAGTCTACTTCTTCCCTTGAGAAAGGCATGTTGATGTCGGTCACAGGGAAAAGGAAGGTGTCTCCAAAAATCATGCAACTTCTATTGTTTTGGGAGAACGAAACCAATGTCTATCCCATTGGAAAAAGAGGGTTTTGACATCCCTGCTGCCAGAAACAACTGCTCAAATCAATCCCATGAAGCATATAAACAAAACCCAAGTGCTCATTTGTCCTTTAATTTCCATTCCACCTGACAGCAGGAGTCCACAAGGTGTTCCATGAAATTCTTCCATGTCCATCAATATCTGTACAATTGCTGCAGTCCAGGTGACCTGTGGAAGTCACTAGCTGGAACTGCAATCAACACAACATTTATTAATACCCTCCACCAACAACAAAGATGGGAAGGCCAGAGCAGTGAAAGGCCCTCTTGTGCCTTGTTTGCTTATGTCAACTGCCCTGTGTCTCAGCTAATTAACCCAACAACCTGTTGAAGGGACCAGGACTACCTAATGAGAGCCGTTCTCTTAGAGATTCTGCCCCATTGGCTAACTGCTGCAACAGGACAACCCAGAAGATATGCACCCCCTGCAATCCCACACTGACTGGTAAAGCCAACATGTCTTAAACTGCTGCTCAAACCATACCCATATTGCAGGATCTCTTCACAACATTTGATAAATTTCAGTGGAATGCTGCTGTTGTCTTACATACAGGGGTTTAGCATTAATCAATACAATGGCTTCCTTGTCCTTCTGCCTCAAGGCAGAGTCCTCACCTCTGAATCCTCTCCCCCAGCCCTGTTCTATTTAACACCTATACAAAGCTAAGAGACAACAGGGATACATATGCTAGTAAAATGTAGCCACCATGCTGTTTCCTTCACAGAAAATGCAAACACTATCTCCCAGCCATCCCACTGTCTAGGAGTCAACATTCACATGAAGACTAGCTTGTTAAAGCTAAACCTGGAAGAGATGGAGGTACTGCTGGTGGAGAGAGGGAAACAAAGAACTTTCTACCATCATAACATCAGCCATCTAAGAGCTAGGTGGTCTGTAGCTTCAGGATCCTCATAGACTTATCTTTGCTCTTCAATGCCTAAATAGCTACAATTGGAAAAATATTTCAACCAAGGCTTGCCCCAGAAACACTGCTTTCACAGAAGCTAAGCAAAGTATATTCATAGAATCATAGAACTGGAAATGACCTCGAGAGGTCATCTAGTCCAGTCCCCTGCACCCAAGGCAGGACTAGACCATCCCTGACAGGTGTTTGTCCAACCTGCTCTTAAAAATCCCCAATGATGGAGATACCCCCCCCAGGCAATTTATTCCAGTGCTTAACCACTCTGACAGTTAGGAAGTTTTTCCTAATGTCCAACCCAAACCTCCCTTGCTGCAATTTAAGCCCATTGCTTCTTGCCCTATCCTCAGAGGTTAAGAACAATTTTTCTCCCTCCTCCTTGTAACAGTGTTTTATGTACACCTCTACCCCAATATAACGCAACCCGATATAACACGAATTCGGCTATAACATGGTAAAGCAGTGCTCTGGGGGGCGGGGCTGCACACTCCGGTAGATCAAAGCAAGTTCGATATAACACGGTTTCACCTATAACGCAGTAAGATTTTTTCGCTCCCAAGGACAGCGTTATATCGGGGTAGAGGTGTACTTGAAAACTTATGTCCCCTCTCAGTCTTCTCTTCTCCAAACTAAACAAACCCAATTTTTTCAATCTTCCCTCATAGGTCATGTTTTCTAGACCTTTAATCATTTTTGTCACTCTTCTCTGGACTCTCTCCAATTTGTCCACATCTTTCCTGAAATGTGGCGCCCAGAACTGGACACACTACTCCAGATGAGGCCTAATCAGCGCGGAGCAGAGCGGAGGAATGACTTCTTGTGTCTTGCTTACAATATTCCTGCTAATACATCCCAGAATGTTGTTTGCTTTTTTTGCAACAGTGTTACACTGTTGACTCCTATTTAGCTTGTGATCCACTATGACCCCCAGATCCCTTTTCGTAGTACTCCTTTGTAGGCAGTCATTTCCCACTTTGTATTTGTGCAACTGATTGTTCCTTCCTAAGTGGAGTACTTTGTATTTGTCTTTATTGAGTGTCCTATTAGAGTATTCCAGATAGTTATACATTCACTTCATGTACATTATACCACCAGGAGTATTTTTTCCAAAAACGCATAAAAATTAAAGACGTTTTAAAGTCACTTGTGTATTCTCAGACAGTCTGAGTTACGTACATGTACCAACACAATTATTTTTAGTCTGACAACAGATAAGAAAGGGGGTAGCAAAAGAGATTTGAGTTAATAACTGAAAGTGTGTTGACTAATTTCAAAAGTGAAATATATATTACAAGCGTGTTTTAATTTTCCTGCCTATGTGGCTCAAGTCTAAAAATTACATAGTCTAAACACTTACAATAATTCATTTATTTTGTAATCATTGATTTATATATTATCCATAAGCCATTTTAATCAAATATATTTTAAGCTTCAAAGTGAAAAAATTGGTCCTTAAAATGTAAGCATAACAAAACTGAGCAAGCTTTTACCAGACCTCTCATGTTCACACCAAACTTTCTCCATACTGCACATGTACAAACATTTCAAAGCAGCCCTATCAGCTATAATTAACTAAAAAAATTTCTCTATAATAATGACAAAATCCTGATCTTTGGGAAACGCATAGAGTGAACAAATAGTAATAGCACATAAGAAATATGTAAAAGTTTCATATAGAGTTTTGTCTCATATATTACCCAGAATCCTGAATTGTCATTAAACTGTGTTAACAGAAACTGAGTCAAACAGTTTTAAGATTACATTGCATAAAGTGTTAAACCTATTCTAGTTTCCAAATGGTTCAGACAGGGATAAAACACTGTTTACCTGGCTCATATTTAAACTTGGTTCTGCTAAAATGATTTAATCCCCAGCGTGCAAAAGGCAAGGAAAATACTAAAACTGTCACCAGGTGTTGTTTCAGGAGTGGAAGTTCATAATTTTTCTGAGCAAACTTCACAAAAATATAAAGTTGGCTTTTAAAAGATGTTGAATAGTTTGTTTTGTTTAGTCTAACTCAGGCAGGACGTGAAGCATTTAATCACAGCATCCCTTAAAAAAACAAAACAATTAACATTTATTTTTTTACAGGCCACATTCAGGTCACTAATATTTTTCAGACTACACAATATTTTGTGTTACATTTCCCAAAATTAGTTATAAAACATACAAATTCAATGATGCACTATTTTGGATGACAAAATGAAAATTTTAATTACTTATCAGATGCAGAATTCTGATAACTTATTAAACTCTGTGGGGAGACTGAAAGATCTGAAGGGGCATTGCTTCCCTATTGAGCATTTTGTAAATTGGTTTGTATACTGTTCAGTTTGGATTAGTCTGAATTTGTTCAGCCTCATTTATTTTTATTTTCCCAAAACTTAATTATTTGCTATTCAGCAGAATTTTTGTACTTGGCTGTTAGCCACTTTGAAAATTCAGGGACTCCCCATATTCTTGAGTTTAAGTGAAATAAGTTATTTCCGTATGCCCCAACACAGCTGTCCTATAATTAAGATTGATATAATAAAACGAGTTCTAAAAACAAGGCAGATCACAGTCTACTGGAAGTGAACAAGCCTCATTGGGGTATTTTTGTTGCTACAATTTTTTTTAGTGTAAATTAAAACAAATGAGTACTTTAGACAAGTTACGCAATACCATTTCCTGGCACCATGTAATAACTCCGCCAACTATTTGCATAAGACAGAATGTATGAAGCTCAACTTGTGATGGCATTTTATACTAGCAAATACTTCAGTTACCTGAAAAAGAATTAGGCTAGTACAGTTTTTGAACAACCTATCAAAAAATCAGTTCAATTGTTTAGATAATATAACTCATGTTTTATCAGACCAGCATTCAAACAAGAGAAAGAAGGCCAGGTACCAATGGTTGTTAATATCTTTGAGCATACTAAAACATAGAAGTATGAATTAAACTGATTTGAACAAAAATAAGCCTATAGAAAGTGAGACATGATTGCCGGAAATGTAGAAATTTAGAATGCTAGTAATCGGACTGGGGAAGTTGGATGTGTCAAAATTAAGGTGACATTTTATAGTATTTAAATATGAATTATTTCACTGCTTGCAACTATCTTGAAGACAGTCTTGTTAGAATTAATGAGATCACCTATTGCTATAACTAATTTTATATTATGGTTTAATTCTGCCATACCTAAGAATCTATAGCATAGATTTTTGTGGCTTATGTCAGGTTTTATTGGACTATTATAGAAAAGCAGTGAGAAAATACAAGATGAAAGGAGAGGTACTGTGAACAATTTAGCAAGGCAGGATATATTTATAGGAGCAGTCAGTCAATGTAAAAAAAAAATCAGAATGAAGTGTTTTAATATACTGTTAAAAGTCCAAATTGCACTATAGTTTCTCTCTAATCTTTCAATTAAACTAAAAAAAAAAAAAAAATGTATTTACTTTGTGCATTGGACGGCACTGTGTGTAGTGCCAGTTTCCCCTGGGCACGTGGGTCTTTCACGCAGGAATAACGGGGGAGGGGGGGCGGCAGATTTTAAAAAATGGGAAAATGGCAAAACCACAAACACTGGCAGGTGATTCAAAAACAAATTTACTAACAAACTATTTAATTTTTTTAAACTGACTAGATTTCAAGTTCATTGTGTCCATTTAAGCTACCAAATATTGTCAAATGTATATGAAACTTTATGTAGGAAATATCCTTAAACTAAGCAGTGTTGTAGCATGTTATAACAATTATTTTGGTGATTAAAACTAGAGAAAATGCTACAATGCTTTAACAAGTAAATTGCTGGGTATCTTTATCTGCACCCTCTTAAACTTCAGAACAGGCATTGGTTATGGTAGACTTGGTAGAATTCAATTTTTATTTTTTTATAATTTTGACCCATAATCTACATGTTTAAGCTTTTTTTATTTTTATCGATTTACATGTTCGCAGTTGCAGGAAATTATTGGAGTTCTGACAATTTTAATGACAGATGCTGAGATTCAAAAAGTTCAAACTTTATATCTGTTAACACACAAACTGTCATCACGTCAAAATACACAAAATAAATATCCTTAAAAATCACACTCGAGTAAATTCTCAAGCAGCATTTTTCTTACTCTGCCTATCTGTACATTTTGATGGAAATATTTTCTCATCTGTGCATATACGATGACATCGATGTTTACAGACATACCAATAAAAATCTAAACCTTCCAAGCCTAATGGTACAACTGTTAATTTAAACAATTATCCTCCAAATGCTAAAAAAATTAAGACTGAGGATATTATATTTGGCTTTTCAAAATTAGTAAGTTAAAAGATGTGATTTTCAAGAAAATTATACTTTTGAAAAAAATTATAGAACAGGCTAACTTTTATTTTTATAAAATGAGGGCAATTAAGGGAGACTCACCTTGCAAAAGGAATATATGAGAGACTATACCTGAAAAAGGAGAGGAACAATAGTTAAAATTTGAGAGGTTTCATTTGTTTTCTACATATCAATTCACTATTTTAGTCCAGAATTAACAAAAGCAGACTGGTATAATAAACCCTGTAACAGGATTACGTATTCAAATTATATCCACTTGAAAATAAAAGGGCTCTGCAAGAACTAAGTGTACTGCCAAGAGATTCTCGTCTCCTTTTTTCTTTGAATGTTGCTATGTAGTATATAACTTCCACTGAATATGAATTCCACTACAAAATGGAATATGGAGATTTACTATCACTTTAGGATTCTTAACTTTGGTTCCTGAAGACTGATTACAGAACTATATGAAACCTACAATTCTCCCAGAAATTAAGATAGCAAAGACATCATTGTCTAGTTTGACTAGAACAAAAGTAGTTTATGCAAATATGTACCTGGTGGTGTGTATAGTGCAAACAAACACACACAGCTGTAGAGTAAGACTACTTTATGGCATTTTTCTCTTATAGCAAAATGTCCTGGCTTCCCTGAAGTGGTGGTTAGACCTGGCCTCAGGTTAAGGTTAGACCAGAGGTGGGCAAACTACGGCCCGTGGGCCACATCCAGCCCACAGAACCCTCCTGCCCGGCCCCTGAGCTCCTGGCCCAAGAGGCTAGCCCCCAGCCCCTCCCCTGCTGGTCCCCCCCACTCCCGCAGCTTCAGCGCACCACGCCGCCGGCGCAATGCTCTGGGCGGCCGGGCAGTGCAGTTGCAGAGCCACGGCCTCTCCCGGTGCTCTGGGCGGCGCGGCAGTAATGCCGCCAGCCACTGGTGCTCTGTGCTGCGCGGTAAGGGGGCAAGGAGGGGGGTGGGTGGGTTGGATAGAGGGCAGGGGAGTTCGGGGTTTTGGTTAGGGGGCGGGGGTGTGGATAGGGGCCCTCCATACAATTTTGGAAACCCAATGTGGCCCTCAGGCCAGAAAGTTTGCCCGCCCCTGGGTTAGACCTTAACCACCGCTTCAGGGAAGCCAGGACTAACGCTGGGATGGTGAGAATGGAATCCAGACAGTGCCTGCTCGGAGAGTAGACTGACGTGAGCCACATCTGAAGCTGTCTGAGGTGCAGGGGCATGTGCCACGCCACATATGTACATGCTGCCATGTGACCTAGTAGACGCAGACGCACCCGGGCTGTTGTCAATGGGTGTGCCGACACTTGGGTGTTTAAGTCCGTCATGGCTTTGAACCGGACATGAACAAGCACTCAAAGAAGAAATTGTGTTTCATTCTCCTGCTTGTCCTGATCAGACACTGGGATGGATTTGATATCAGAAGACCTTAACTTTTAGTTTTAGTTATGGGTCCCTAACCTCCACCAGTCCCCAATTACCTATTATTTACTTGGGTCCAGTGCAACATTAAATGGCCTCCATATCAAAAACTGTCAGGGTTGGCCCGCTTCAGCCTAACTCCTAGGCATTCAGCCTACTTCTGAATCCTCCCTCCTTCCCATGAGAGGGGACATAAGGGTACATTTGAAAGCCATCTCTATCTGCAGGAACTTACTGTCTCCCCTTTTTCCTCCAGGCTAAAATGGTTTACCAGTTAGCTCAGAGTTTTCTTCTGTTTATCTCTGGGAACTGGCCATTTTGAGCCTCATCCCTGCACTGGACACCAAGGGTGCCAGCAAATAGCTTAGCCATAAAGCCAAACCCACTGCCCAATCTCCTTGCTTGGGAGAACTTAGAGGTTGGACCATACATTGTCCAGTGTCTGATAAATGTGCCCATCTTCCCTATTCCAAATACAGGAACACCATACCTGATTTTCCTATATTAAAATCACCAGCGCCCAGATCCACAAAGGAATCTGCATATCTAAGTCCCAATTTTAGGCACCAATGGGATTCACAACCCGCACCCCATCCCTGCATTGCACCTAAGCTTCTGCTGTAAAAATTCCCTAGGTGCTTACATTTATGACCCTGAGCACATGCACTGCTGCCTTGCTCTAACCATCCAGATGCCTATCCCCAGTGTGATCCACAAAGCCAGGGGAAAATAGGCATTTATCTGCCTCTCTCATCCGTGGGGCCCAATCCAGTATGTGTGTTCAGAGCATGCCTACCACATTGGTCCCCAGTCAAAATCCTGCCAGAGAAAGAGGAGTAGGTGGTACCTTCCTTAACTTTTAGGCCAGTTCTTAGAAGGCTCATTTGGGATGTGGGAGACCTGGGTTCAATTCCCCCACCTGATGGGAAGAAGAGACTTGAACAGGGGTTTTTCCCACCTCTCAGAGTGCCCTAACCACTGCGCTATGGGATATTCTGATGTGGTCCTCCATCAGTCTCTCCTAACTGAAGTTGGTGCGCTTTAAACAGTCAGAGCAAGGGGACTGGACCTTAGGTGTTCCACCTCTCAGGTGGGCACCCTACCCATCAGGATACAGTCACTCACTCTCAGACCCAGTGAATTAAGGATCACATTTTCATATATCTAAAGCTATCAGACATTTCTGCAAGATAATCTGAGCAAAATCCTGCCAAGCTGCACATACACAACTCAGTTTAGAGCAATATGTGACTTGTGGGCAGAATTTGGCCCTATCTTTTTTCATAGGTACCTCTTAATTACATGTCAAGGTTATGTGGCAAGTGATAAACAATTCAATATAAATTAAAAAAAAAAAAAAAGCCTTACCAGGTCATTGCTAAGAACTGGAATATGCAGAATAGCAGGGCCAAACCTTTCTTACCCCACTAAAACAAAAGAAACACCACAGATTAAAATTGATTTGTACAAAATAATTTAATTTAGTAACTAGAAGAACTAGCCTACTCAATCCAGTTCACTCCAAAACCTTAGCTGATCCATGATGGTCAATCTCCTTAGTTATGAAGGTCTAGGAGCTTAAACAGATCTCCTTCCCGTTTGCAAGAACTATAATCAATTGTTAGAATATCATTCCAACTGAAGAGAGCTAATTAACATCTTTGCAACTTAAGCCTTCCCTAGTTCTGAAACTCTTCAGAACGAAGAATTCCAACTACCAAACTACTATTTCCTTCATATTCACGATCCATATTTGATCTGTGCAACATTACAGTGTATGTTCTTTTCAGATACACGTTTACCTTCACCCTTGCATTGATACTTGAATTACAAAAGCATAGAGCCGAGGCGGCTGAAGATACTATTATACAAAAGTTTATCATTTCTATTTTTTTTTACTCATTAAGATCTTATGTTCTGCAAGTCCTTTCCCACAATATGCAGTTGTAAGAGTGCTCTTGCTCTGTAGCCAAAATGCTCAATGGCATCCACCAACTAAATGCAATTCAAACACCAATGTTGCACACTTCTATTAAAAGTGGAATTTTTTTAAATAATTGATAGAAACATAAGAATGGCCCTACTGGGTCAGATCAAAGGTTCATCTAGCCCAGTATCCTGTCTTCTGACAGTGGCCAGTGCCAGGTGCCCCAGAGTGAATGAACAGAACAGGTAATCATCAAGTGATCCATCCCCTGTCACTCATTCCCAGCTTCTGGCAAACAGAGGCTAGGGACACCATTCCTGCCCAAGGTCATCTATCCCTCTGACTTCACTGAACTTTAATGATACAGTCCCTGAATTGCTCTTAAACATTAGATGAACCACAGAGTGTTACCACAGCCAAAAACCTAGCCAAGCCAGCTTGCTCTTAAAAGGGACAAAAAGGATTTGAGTTAATATCACTTACCCAGAATACAGCACAGAGAGTGAATATCAAACACAACTGAGGAAAAAGAAAAATCAATATGTATAGTGTGCAAATATCCAATCAAGGAAATAGTTGATATATGTTCTCAATAAGTCATCAGTATTTTCAAATGCACCATCTGTAATAAGGAAATCCATAGGCTTTTCTATAGTATGAACAGTCTGAACTTAATCCTGAGAATTAATGCCATAAACAGCATCACTGTGAATCTCGAATTCACAACATCCATCTTCTGACAAGACCGGCACTAGCATTATGATGGACAATCCACTGTTAAAAACATCCATTCACAATTATTGTATTTGGCAAATACAGACTTGGTTTCTGCCAATGTTTTTGTCTTCCAGCAATAGTGAGAAGAGGCCCACTAGGGAGCAGCTGTTTTGTATTCAATAAAAAAAAGCTCAGATGAAACTTTATTCAAGCTACTCATGTGGCTCTTTGTTATTTCCTATCAGTTGCCAGTTTGCATTTTAATAGGACAAAGGAGGGATGCCAAGTATATTTAGCTTCAGTATCTTGCAATATGTGATTCCAAACAGCATAAAGGCCAAATTTATGAACAGAGTAATTTGTTTTTCTAATTAAAATCCCAGGAGATTTGCAATTGTAAGTACAGAGTCGTTAATTGAAAAGTAGGATTTCCCTTCAGGGCAGAGTATGGGCCATGAAGAGCCTAAAGTATCTTGCTAGAAATACTGTCAATCTCTATAATGCACAGTTTTTCCTGCATGTTTTACACATTTATGCTTTCCAAGTACCCTTTTTTCATGATACACCTTTCCTTGGTGTAACATTACAACTAAGCGATTAAAAATGAAATGGTTTATAATCCCAGATTAGTCTCAGAATTTATCAAGTATAAAGTGCAGAAATATACAGTTAACCATTGCCTTGAGTTCCTCATCCAGCTAAATTTCCCCTAATCTGGTTTCTGTCCTCTTCACTCCACTGAAACTGTGCTCAAAGTTTCTAAGAGCTTGTCTACATGAATACTTGCTTCCCAGCAAACTGGAGTGTAAACTGACCCCAGAGCCGTGCCTTGGGTATGGCGAATCGTGGCAACTGCTCCGGGCCCTGTGCTTTGGGGGGCCCCCGCGCTTCAGTGTGTGTCTGTAGTGCGGGACCAGGCACTGACTTTTCAAACTGCCGAGGGATACTCGACCCCAGGCTCTTCCCCAGGCCCTGCCCCCACTTCACTCCTTCCCCCAAGGCCCATCCCACCCAGTTCCGCCCCCTTTCCCGAGTGAGCTGCATCCCCGCTCCTTCTCAGCCTTCCAGAACACCATGAAACAGCTGTTCGTGGCGAGCAGGAGGCGGGGAGAGGGAGAGGGAGGTGCTGATCGTGAGGCCGCTAGCTGCAGGTGGGTGCTCAGCACCAACTATTTTTTCCCCCATGGTGCTCCAGCCCCGGAGCACCTACGAAGTCAGCACCTATAGCCTGGCCCAGGGGAGTGGGGTTAGGGTGCGGGGGGCACTAGGACAGTGTAGGCTTTAGCAGATGTTACTGTGCCTGCTCAGTTTGGGTGAGTGAGTATGCTCATTACAACCTAGACAGGAAATTCTGCCAGGGAGCTGTTTGTGTCATTTCACCAGCCCAGGCGGGGGGAGAGCATCCCGGCTGATTTGTCCCGTAGGGACAGCCCTGACTGACCCCATATTAGCCTGCTGCATACTAAGTATCCATGTAAGCCATGCTGCCATGCACTAACAGTTCCCTAAAGCACTTTAATCTACTCCCATTTAAAAACGGGATAGATTAAAGTTCACTGGGGAGCTTCTGGTGCACAGCAGCAGGGTCCACGTGGACCACTTAGTGTATGGCAGACTAGTGTGGGGTAGATTTGTATCCCATCTTGCAGCAAATTAAGGGTTCGTGGAGACAAGCCCTATGTGGCCTCTATGGAACAAATAATGTGTAAGTAGTCAAGGTGATGACCGCAATGTTTCCATTTTCCTCACTTTTTTTGTCCCATTTTGGGGAGACTATCTTCCTGAGCAAATGTACAATGCAGAGCACATTGAGAGCTACTGCAACATTAAAAAAATACATTAAAATAACTAAGCTTGCAAAGTCTAGCATTCAAAAGTTAGGAAATTCCAGAATTAAGGTGGTCTGTGCAGCCTTAATTTGGCCCGTGTGCATATGCATTATGACAGTCTTTAATTACATGATCACATGCTTTTTCCCCTCTACAGGAAATCTGCCTCATTCGGTGTACAGAATGGATTTTGCTCACTTAAAAGAGCAGGTATTCAATATTTTGTTTTAACTTCATAGTTCAATGTGTGGCCCCAGGCCTTATTTACTGTACTTTTCTAACTCGGCTCTGAAGACAGAATTATTAATTTCCTCATGAGCCTTTCTATGGCATTCCTCATTCTACAGAGCGCTTCACAAATATTAATGAATTGATTTTCACAAAACCTTGTGAGATGATTGGTATTATCCCCATATTACAGTTATGGAACTGAGGCACAGATCAATTAAGGTCCAAAGTATCCACTAATTTTGGGTGCCCAATTTGAGATACCTAGGACCTGTTTTTTCAGAGTCTTAGCATTAGATAGCACTTTATGTTCAAAACATAATTCCCAATTACTTCAGTTGCAGCTGAAGTGCTCAGCACTTCTGCAAATCAGACCTTAGGGCACGGGTGGCCAACCTGAGCCTGAGAAGGAGCCAGAATTTACCAATGTACATTGCCAAAGAGCCACAGTAATACGTCAGCAGCCCACTATCAGCTCCCCCCCAGCCCTGCACCTCCCACCCACTGGCAGCCCCACCGATCGGCATCTCCCCCTCCCTATCAGCTGTTTCCATGGCATGCAGGAGGCTGGGGCATGCCCCATGGCAGAGCCAGGGGTTGAGCAGCGAGCACCCCCCTTCACATTGGAAAGTTGGCGCCTGTAGCTCCAGCCCCAGAGTCAGTGCCTATACAAGAAGCCACATATTAACTTCTGAAGAGCGACATGTGGCTCCAGAGCCACAGGTTGGCCACCCCTGCCTTAGGGTTTTAAGTCAGGCCGCCAGAACACTCAATTAGTGCCCATGTGAGAAAGTGTTATTTTTTAAGTGACCAGCCCAGCATCACAGAGGAACTCTGTGGCAGAGGCAGGGACAGAATCTAGAGATGACCAGAAACTGGAATTCCCATTCCACTGGGAATGGGGAACCCCCTTTCCCCATCAAACATTTCAGAAAAAATTGCATTTAAAAATGTAACAACTGAAATTTCCTGCAGACTGGGAATTCTGATATTTTGTTTCAACTTTTTTGAAACTACATTTCATTTTGACCTTTTTGAAATGTCCAAGGCTCCCCAAGCTGCCCAGGCCCTAGCAGCTCACCAGTCAGGGAACCAGACAGCTCGGGGAGACAGGCATCCCAGACTGCCAAGGAGCTGGGAACTATTTTCCCCTGGAAAAATTTGATATAGCAAAAAGAGTGAATTTTCCATCAGAATATCATTGACAAAGTTCTCAACCAGCTCTAATAGAATCCAATTCTCTAGGGCTGCATTCAGCTGCCTTAACCATGAGGCCATCCTTTTCCTTCTTTCGGTTTCCTGACTCATTCACTACACACCTTCCAACTGCTGCAACAAATAAAGTATGGGTCTTATAGACAACAGCATCCTTTACTACACAACCCTGCTTCAGCCCCAGAGAAAGTCACCTTGTGCAATGAATGAGACACAGGTGGAGGGGGGGGAAAAAGATAGTATGATCATGTATTTCAAGACTGAATAATGCATGTGCGCTAGGGCAGTGGTTCTCAAAACTTTAGCAACCTGAGGACCCCCATTTTGATTTAAAATTTTTTAGGGACCCTCAAGTCCCCCCGCTCAGCCCTAACCCCACCCCCTTTCCAGGCTTTGCCCCGTCCTGCCCCTTCTCCAAGGCCCCGCCCCCACTCACTCCATCCCCCCATCCCTCCCTCTTTCCCACCCTCACTCACTTTCACCAGACTGGGGCAGAGGGTTGGGGGTGCAGGAGGGGTGTGGCCTCTGAGAGGGAGTTTGGGTGTGGGCTTTGGGCTGGGGCAGGTGGTTGGGGTGAGGGAGGAGTGCGGCACTTACCTCAGGATGCTCATATTTCGAAAGCAACTGGCACATCCCTCTGGCTGTGGCTCCTAGGTGGGTGGAGGGGCAGGGGGTCTCCGCACGCTGCCGGCAGCTCCCATTGGCTGGGAACTGCGGTCAATGGGAGCTGCGGAGTCGGCGCTCGGGCCGGGTGCAGCATGTACAGACCTCCTGCTCCCAGGTAAGCCTGTTCCCCAGCATGCTGGAGGCGTGCCTGGGAGGGAGGGGGAGGAGTTTCTCAGTGGGGCCCACAGACCCCCAAGGGTCTGTGGACCACAGTTTGAGAAACACTGTGCTAGGGAACTGATCTAAGGTTACACGGGCAACCTTAATTCTGGCATTTCCTAACTTTTGAGTGCTTGACTTTGCAACTGTTTTGTGTGTGTACTTTCTTGGGTTTTTAAAAAAAGCAAACAGAAAAAACAAATTCCATCATGTGGCATCATATTTACACCCACATGGGTCATAAACAGGATTGGAACCTTTAGTTCTACTACACAGACCTTTACCACTTGTGCTGGTAGGTTGTTATCCACTATGTGGACCAGCAGACTGAAGGGGGAGTTTGGGGGAAGAGAGAAGAGAAGAGGGAGGGAAAAAGATGAGACTGCCAGTGAGTTTCACAGATATTTGCTGACAGTAGAAGAATGGTGAGACTCAAGACTCCAGAGTTCCATTCCAGGTGCTGGAGGGGAGTGTACTCTAGTTGGTCCCTGGAAGCTTAGCTCCTTCTGCCCAGTCCCCTCCAACCTGTCCCAGTCCTGTCTCTTCCCCACCCTGGCTTTTCAATCCCAGTTCCACTCTCCCTGCCCAGCCATTGCCAGGTCCATCCCCCACTCCGACCCACCACAGCTCCTTGTCCCAGTCTTTTTGCCCAGCCAGGCCCAGTTCTCCTCCTATATCCTGACTCATCATCAGATATGTTTCCCATCACCCTGCAGTGTGGCTCTCATCCCTGTTGCATTATATCAGGCAGCTCCCTCCTCTAGGCTTCCTGAGCCTAGCAGAGGGCACCGAGAGCACAGGAGCATCTCCCTTCTCTTAGTTCCAGTGCCCTGCCGCAGCTCAGAGCTACAAATGCAGAGAAATTTCTGCTCAGCCCTAGGCTGAATTTAGCTATGATGCTCTAGCAAGTCTCCACTGACCACAAGCACTGTGAGATTTCTAAGGGGTTTATAAGGGGGAATATTTTGGGGGGGGGGGGGGGGGGGGGGGGGGGGGAGAAACAGGGATGGCAAAAGGCACACCCTAACACAAAGGAAACCTGGCAAATTTCAGGTACCTGCTCCAATGTATGCAGGCACTAAAGCCTTTCAAAGGAAAGATCAGATTTTTTTTTTTTTTTTTTTTAAAAACACAAGACGAAAAAAAAACACCCCACCATATTTTTCCTAGCCTCGGTCTCAAACAGCTGAATTGTTTTAGGTGAAGTTTTCAGCCTGAGGTTCACACCTGGCATGGAAAATTTCAGCCAAAATGATTAAAGTTTGGCAAAATTTATGAGCAACTGAAAATAGAATCTTATAATGAGAACTGTCAGGCAATATTAAAATATGGTGTTACCAGTCCAGCACCTAGTAATCCAATAACAACTTAATGTGCATCCAGGCAATACTTCTTCCTGGCCAAAGCCTCAGATTTGCTTCCTCCCCCCACCCCATGCAGTAAGATTAAAAAAAAAAAAAAAAAAAAAATAGTAAATGTAGTTTACCAGCATAACAATTGTAGCAATTAATCTTGTTGGCTCAAACATTTTTTTCAGCTGCTTCACAGGCCCCATCAAGAAACACGTACTAATGAAATAAGGAAGAAACAGTAAGTCACATTCAAATAATCTTTGCAAAGTATCAAAATAGGTAACTTATAGAGCCATCCAATATTTAAGCTAGAGAAAGGCACCACACTTCAACAACAGCTACTGACAGGGTCAAAGATTAATACTCTTTATATGTTTGTCCTGGGAATCAGCCTACATGTGTATTTGCTATCTGCTCCCCATTTCCTTCCAAAATATTCCTAGATATATCGAAGGGACACTAGTTTGAGTCTAGTCTATCTAGGACTATCTCAAAATGAAATTCACCAGAATTGAAGAAACCTGAAGGATTCTAAGTAGGAAGATTTGTCAGGTTGAGTATGACCAACGCCAAACCTGTACAGAACTTAAATTTTCATTTAAAAATAATCGTTTCTCGCCCTAACAGTTGCAAAAAAAAATCAAACCTCAACTGAGCTGCCAGACAGTGAAAGTATCTGCTGCTATTACTCAGTCAAACCTGCAGGGGAACACCATTCTTTGTGCCTCAGCTCACCACCAGATCAAGTAGAGGAACAGCTGCAGCAGCCCTTGCTGAATCCTCCAGCCTTCCTCTACCCTGTGCCTAAAACTGAAGGGGAATGAAGGTTAGCAGCTCTTCTGAACTTCTCCTCCCTCGGCCAGGTCCGCTTCTTCCTCATGTTGTCTGGCAGAGAACAGAGTCAGAATAATCTTGTTCTGCCACTCTGCAGCTGGACTCAGCCTTCTCCTCCTAAATATAGGCAGGAAACAGAAGCTATCCAAGATCTTTCTTCTCCAGAGAGGGGGCAAAGATTTCATCTGCTCCAATAGCCTCTCTCTAAACAAAGATGGTGTTAGAAAAGAATGTCCCATCCCTCCCTGGAAAATTAGGTCATGGGACTTGTATGTTGAGTTGCCAGGAAAAGTAGTGAGGTATCTGCTATCCACAGAAGACATGAGATCTGAAATAGAGGTACTGAAGGCTGCAGGAAGAGGCACTACTGAGATTTCATGGGAGCAAAGAGGAGAGCAGATGAAAGAAGGGAAAAAACCCTGACGAACTGGTGGGAAGAGAACTGATGAGGTGGGGTGAATGGCAAATAGAGTGGTGTCAGAGTTGAGAGTGACTCAGGATGTCTAAGCAAACAGCGTGGGGTGTTTGTGAGGAACAAGGATGGTGACTGATGTGAGCATATATCCAGAGATAGGAGAATGAATCCAGGGATTGTGATGGAAGAAAGGTCTGAGGCCCTTCTCATCTGCAAGGTTGCATGAAGTCAGTGAGAGCCAGGACCAGAACCACAATGTCTCCTGAATCCCACTTCTGTGCTTTAAGCACCCAAAGTTTATTTATAATGTTAAACAAACTTACTGCACAGCATTTACTTACTAACTAGTTTTATTTCATGATACTTCAGAATGTTTGGAAGAAATAGCACACAGTGGTTTAAAAGCATTTAAAATGGGGATCAAAATCTCAGGGGGAGCAGTATTACATTCATGATTTGGTAATAATGAAAGACTGTTTCAGTGAGATTTTTCTCCCTTCAGCATATTAATTTTGTTTATGTAGTTTAAAAGTGTAGTTTAGAAGCAATGCAACAGGAACAATACAGTAAATGCCTAAACTCTACTGAAAGATTTGGGTATACTGAGAAGTCTCAGAACATTGGGTAATGAGAGGGGTCATCTGTGCTGCAATACCTAGATTTAAGAGCAGAATAATGAGCTTGATGTCACTACAGGACAGCTTGTGCATTAGGTAATTAGGGCTATAGTTAATACTAGATTAACTATTCTGCATTGTTTTATGTTTATCATTACACAGTTACAGTACAAGACCAATCTTGGTCTTTAAAAAGGTCATTTCAATCTTATATTGACCTCCCTACACCTCATGTGTACATGTCATTGCCATTAGTTCTGTTGCAGACAGATGCCTTGATCTGTTGCTGAGGCCAACAAGTAATAGTTAACGCTAAGTTTTAGTCATGGGTATTTTTAGTAAAAGTCATGGACAGGTCACAGGCAGTAAACAAAAATTCACAGATCCGTGACCTGTCCATGACTTTTACTAAAAATACCTGACTAAAACTTGGGGGGGGGGGTCAGGGGGGCCATGGGTGCTGGGGCAGGGTTGGTGGGGCTGGGGCAGGCTCCCTATCCAGCTCCTGGGAAGCTGTGGCCCTAGCTCCAGCTGCTCCACATGCTACTCTGCTCCTCCCCAAGGCCCAGTTCTGCAGCTCCCATTGGCTGGGAACCATGGCCAATGGGAGCTGTGGGGGTGGTGCCTGGCTGCTGGCAGAGACAGCATGTGGAGCTAGGGGAGGGGAGAGGAGAGGAGCCCTCCTCCCCCCCCAGGTAAGCACCACACGCCCGGGCCCCCCCCCCCCCCCCCAAACTCCTGCTGCTGGGGGTAGGGGTGCCCCAAGATCGCCCTAGCAGCAGACAGTGCAACTGAACGGGGGGACTGCCAGAGCTGCTCAGGCAGCTCTGGGGCCCGCTGCACAGGGCTGCTGCAGAAGTCACAGAAAGTCAAGGAATCCATGACAAACACTGAGCCGTAGGCATAATGCAGCGTACTCAGCACAGGAATATGAACTTTAACTTCACTTCAGGGGAGGTCTGAAGGAGTCGGCACACTCAAGAGCACAAGGGTTCCCACTCAGATCCAGTGTCCTTCACACACTCCCTGCCTTTTGCGTGCTGTCAATCACTGTCTCCTGGAGCAGGAGATAAGGAAGGAAATGACAACCCTTTCTACCTATGTATGAGTCCTGGGCAATATAGGCAACACATTAGGCATTAGTCTAAAACAGGGGTGGGCAAACTTTTTGGCCCGAGGGCCACATCAGGGTTCTGCAACTGTATGGAGGGCTGGGTAGGGAAGGCTGTGCCTCCCCAAACAGCCTTGCCTCCGCCTCCTCCCACTTCCCACCCCAACTGCCCCCCTCAGAATCCCCAACCATCCAACGCCCCCTGCTCCTTGTCCCGACTGCCCCCATCCAACCCCCCTGCTCCCTGTCCCCTGACTGCCCCGACCCCATCCACACCCCCACCCGACAGCCCCCCTGGGACTCCCACCCCCTATCCAACCGCCATCTGTTCCTCGTCCCCTGACCACCCCCTCCCAGAACCCCCCACCCCTCACTGCCCCCCGGGATCCCACCCCCTTATCCAACCTCCCCTGCTCCCTGTCCCCTGACTGCCCTCCCAACCCCTATCCACATCCTTGTCCCCTGACAGGCCCCCCAGGATTCCCACTCCCAACCCTCCCTATTCCCCATCCCGACCACCCCCCCAGAACCTCCATCCCATCCAACTGCCCCCTCCTCCCTGACTGCCCCCCATGCTCCCTTGCCCAACTCCCCCGCTCCCCACCCCCTTACCAGCAGCAGGAGCTTGCAGCCGCGACACTTGGCCAGAGCCAGCTGCACTCCACACACTGCCCAGCGGAAGTAGCAGGCCAGAGCGCGGCTCACGCGGCTGCGTGAGAGGCGGGACAGTGGGGAAGGGGCCGGGGACTAGGTTCCCTGGCCAGGAGATTGGAGGCTGCTCAGGATGGTCCCGCGGGCCGAATGTGGCCTGCGGGCCGTAGTTTGCCCACGTCTGGTCTAAAAGGTATGAAGAGATGACACTCTCTCAATCACCCTGACCCCTACCATATGGTGTCCCACAAGACTCCGTTCTTCCTCACACCCCTCTATAGAAGGCCAGAGAGACTGTAAGATGCTGCAGACTTGTGTATTACCAATATGCAGATGAAACAACTATACACCTCCTTTGTCATCAATGCAGTCTCTGCCACTACCAGCATATCCTAATGCTTGGAAGAAGTCAGCCGAAACTCAACTCAGAAAAGACTGAAGTGATCTTAGCAGAAGGAGAAGGGAGTAGAAAAACAGTAACATTTGCCAACACTCATCAACCTCAGATAAAGGCATCAGATTGCAAGAAGAGGATAACATGCTTTAGAGTCATGTACTCATCCCTATGTCTGGACACAAATTGCCATAACAGGGAGCAATGCATTCTTTCCACCTTCCACAACCATTCGGACCCTTTCCTATCAAATAGCATTGCAATATGCTTGTGTCTCTTTCAGGTTACACTACTGCAGCTCTACCCGAGGATGACAACTGACAGAAGAGGGCTGAAGATGGTGGCAGCACACAGTAGTGAGCCTCAGAAGTCAAAGGCAAACCCATCATCATGCTTCACAAACTACACCTGAAGCAAATGGGGAGCCAAATTAAAAATCCTACTCTGCAAAACCCACAAGCATGCAACCTGGCTACTATTTCAAATGGCCTTACCTTTCAAGACAGCTACACTTCAGGGAATGATGCAGCTGATGACACTGAAATTCAGACAAATGACACAGGAGGCAAAGGGGTAGTGTTCTCAACAAGCAGCCCAAGTATGATCCTTTCTGGCAAAGAGCTCCAAACAGGACCCAAGATGTTATGTAGATCAAAATATAAGAAAATGTTGACAGGGTTTTTTGGTGCTATGCACAGGGTTTGTAAAAGCAGAAAAAAGTTCAAAAGCCCTGAGCTAATCCTTTACACAAAATACTCTAGTGAAAGTGGGGAGGGAGGACCAGGACTGAGAAAGAACTTTATGGACTCACACTTCATGTTCATAGAGTCTGGCACTTCACTCTGGTGAAGCATATAGGAGAATGAAATCAGCACAATCTTACAAGGCCTCTTTTGTAGTTTAGCAGCAGCAACAGAAAGTTAAGTTTGCTATTGTTTTTCCTGAGAGCACAGCCTCAAAAGCCACAGTCTCAGCAGCATAGCAAGGCATCTGCCTGCAAGGAGGAGTGGTGGGAATAGATAAAATACAGCAGAGTTTTAAATTTTAAAATTATTCTAAGCCAAGATTTTTCATGGATTAATTTTTAGGGTCTCCCAGACTGGTTTTCCATTAAAAAAAAAAAAAAAAGATTAAAGGAGCTCTGATTGAAAGCAAGATGTTTCCTATCATAAGATGCCCATATTTAGATGCCTACATTAGTGATTAATTAGTGAAATTGGGGTGTGAGGAGATGGCAGATGGATTTAGAAACATACAGAAGTCTAAAACCTATAGTCTACAACCTGCCAGCCAAAGTAAATAGAAATCAGGATGTATTTATGAAGTGATCATAAAAAACACAATATAATTGTGTAGAAGAGGGAGGGAAATAAGTAACTGGTATATTCCCATTGTAACTAGTGTATTAGTAACATGAAAATGTAAAGTGCAAGATATATATGACCTGAAATTATGAACAGCATTGTTCTTCACATTTGAATATTAATGTTACACACAAATTTGCAGTTAGAAATTCAGATTCCAAAATGGTAGAACTTATTAGTAATAACTAGGAAAATAATGCATACCTGGCTAATGCAGCAATATTTCCTATGGTGTAGAACACTGCAAAAAGTTTCAGCCCCGAGGGAAGCCACAGAAATGCTGTCCCCTGCACAAGAAAAATATATTTTCATACTTTCAATTGCTAGTCCATCCAGTTTAGTGTGTCTGAAAATAAAATGTAAACCATAAAATTTAAGTCACAAGAAAGTCACCATGACCTACACTGGTCATACACTGTTTTCAGAGACTGCACTAACCATCCAGCAGATTAATACCTCCCTCTACTGGCAAGTGAGATGTAATGATTTAATGTATTTAACTGAGTCTCCCTAATGTTATTGCAGAGGTGTGAAAATAAATCCTATCAATATTACTATAGCCAACATTTGTATAAGAGGCCTATTTCACAGGTTCTTTTAGTAGTAATTGTATAGATGTTTACTTTTTAGGTTATTGTACAGCAGACAGACTGTTTCTTTAAAACCCATAATTCCAAGTTAGAAGCTCCTGTACATTATGTGAAAGGAAGATATCCATGAAGTTATACTGGACTAATATCCACAATCCCTCCAACCCCACTGTAAAAGAAAGTCCTCCATCACTTCTCACACTCCAATCATAATAGTTCTAAAAAGAAGTCTGAGTTGTCAAACCTCGGCTGGCAGACCAAGCATGTGCATGGACAGGGAAGGAGAAGTTTGAATCAAGCACCCCTACTATCAGCCTCCAGGTTTAAACCAGGGGGTTGATCAAACCCCTCTGCTGATCAGAACTGCCATGACTAACATGGAAGAGAGGCAGATTCTAAAGGTAACCAGAAGCCAACCCACTTAGCGCTTTTTCAGACAAAACCAACACCTTAAATCACACAAACCAAAAGGAGGACAACGTAGACCAGAGCACAAGCGTAGTGTTCCACGTAAAAAGTACCATTTAAGCAAGCAAAGTAACATTTTGCATCAAATACAGTTTGAGTCATCTTACAATGAAGACCCAAGTGCAGCTCTCTAAATGACAAAGGAGTGGATGACTGTGGCTAGGTTCAGATAAAACTGTGCCACGCCCAGATAAAAAAAAAAGCACACACAGCCTCTGCTACTTGATCATCCAGAAGTGGCCAGGAATACTATAAGACTACCAGAATGTGAATATGACAAACAGTCTCTGCCAATTATTCCAGACGCTTTCTCCAGGCTCATCTCACTCTTATCTGGGTTAAACCTCAGCCAGCTAGCTCTTAGCCAAGCCCTAATGAAGGTTAGACCCTGCATAAGTCATTTGTCTGCATCAACCAGTCCTGCTTAAAGAGCAATGTAAAGCTAGGCATCATCCATATATAGAGACACTGCAGTCCGCCTACTTCATTCACTATCTTCCCCAACAGCCTCACAGACTTTAAGGCCAGAAGGCACCATCATGGTAATCTCATCTGACCTCCAGCACATTGCAGGCCACAGAACCTCACCTACCCACTCCTGCAGTAGGCCCATAACCACTGGCTGAGTTACTGAAGTCCTCAAACCTTGAGTTAAAGACTAAGTTACAGAGTATACACCATTTACTCTAGCTCAAACCAGCAAGTGACCTGTGCCCCACACTGCAGAGAAAGGTGAAAAACTTGCAGGGTCTGCCAGTCTGACATGGGAGAAGATTCCCTCCTTACCCCAAATACAGTAATCAAGTAGATCCACCAGCCAGACACCTGGGAAAGAATTCTCTGTAGTAACTCCAAGCCCTGCCCATCTAGTGTCCAATCTCTGACTTTTGGAGAAATCTGCTAATAGCAGTCGGGGATGGAAATACGGAACAGAGGAAAGGGGACAATGGAATTGTGGGGAACCTACATGTAGGGTAACCAGATGTCCCAATTTTATAGGGACAGTCCTGATTTTGGGGTCTTTTTCTTATATAGGCTCCTATTACCCCCCAACCCCTGTCCTGATTTTTCACATTTGCTGTCTGGTCACCCTACCTACACGAACCTTCAAAGCACATCAAATTGCTTTGTACAACCAGCTTCAGACCTGTAGAGGCAAAACCACCCAATGGAATCTCAAATTTTTTATTAGGGCTGTCAATTAATCACAGTTAATGCCTGAGTAACTGAAAGCAAAATTAACATGTTTTAAAAAATTAATGTATTGTTTGCATACCTGAGGGTGGGGCAGGAGACATCAGTAGTGGGGGGCTGAAACACTAGCCCATGGCTTCCAAGGCAGCTGGGGCTGAAGCAGCCCCATGCCAACCTGAAGCCCTGTGCCGGGCTGAATCCCAGAGCCCCCAGCCCTGACCCTATATTTGAAAATATAGAACCCCCCCAAAATATTTAAATAAATGGTATTCTAGTATTAACAGTGTGATTAAACTACAATCAATTGCATGATTAATTTTTTTAATCATGCGAACAATCACTATTCATTTTTTTTTAATTGCTCGACAGCCCTACTTTTTAGCAGTAGTCCAAGTGAATTTGAGCCTAGTGTCAGCATACCAGATAATTCTCAGATTGAATGATTATTTTGTACACTGTCAGATTCAATGCAAGACTAATAGCAGTACTGATCACTACAGTAACATATTGCCACCTCTCTGAATATTTGATTCCCTTTGCATTCCTCTACCAGTTCTCTCAGTGTCCCATTCTTGCTTGCCTTCCATGAAAGACAGGGCAAGAGCTATTACTACTAGCAAGTAACATTTAAAAAAGGTAAATGACTTCACTACTACTTAGTCTTGCATCACATCTGCTTCAAGTACTCTACAAGATGCCTTCCCCACAGGGTTTGACTTGAAATAGGAGATGCCCCCTCTACTACCCCTCCCCCAAAACAGCTCAGTCACAGGCACATGTAGAATGAGTGGTTATGTTCAGCTAACTGTTCTAAGTGTTATTTCCTGGATAGAAGTTTTTGAAATATTTCAGCTCACAGCTATTTCCACTTCCTAAAGACCACAGGTTGCCCTGCATCATTCAAAATCATATAGAAACTGCGCAAGAACTCATAAGCCAGCATCACTTGCATTTTCCCAGGAATAGATTTCAATCAATGGGACAGAGATGATATGTTTCCACTTAACACCACAGAAAATATGTATTCTAAAGTGACAGTGAAAGCTGTTCAGCCATGTGCTTAAATGTGCCTTTAATGTGAAAAAGGGTCAAATTAAACAGGAGATAAATAAGTTACCATTTTATGTTATGGCCAATAAAATAGAGCCCATGGTATAGGCATTCACTCTTGGGAAAAAGTGATCACATGGCAAGTCTAAAGCATCTGACAAGGAAGGTTTTATTCCCATTGTCACATGCTGTAGAGAGGAATAAACTATGCCTGCTTCATTTCTTAATATGAAAGAATGTCACTTCTGCTAAGTTAGCTGTGTGTTTCATACTTTATTAAGATTCTGATAGAGAGAATGAGACTTGTTTACTTGATTTTCACTGTATAGAAGACATTTAATAAGTCCTTTGCCTGTAAAGTGTTTCTATCCTTCGTGGTTGGAAGTCATGTTATATTAATACTGGATCTACACTCCATCAAAAAGTAGTAACTTAAACCATACCACTTTACAAACAGTTGTTCCAAGCTACATTTCAACTGATTAGTCGTGCTTTTTGGGTGATGTCACAACTATACACCAACACTCACAAGAACTTTACTACTCTACACATAATGGGTGGAGAGATTTACACATTAATGGATGGTTTAAATAAAGGTGTAAATACTCACAAAAATTACGGTTCTAAATGTGGCTGTTTGGTACACAGTTTGGAGGTCTCTGCAACACATGCAGCTGATTTTTCAAAAATGACCACTGATTTTGGGTGCTCAACTTGAGACATCTTTGGCTTAATTTCAGAAATGCTGAGCAACAATGCTAGGTGAAGTCAACAGGAGTCAGATGCTCCGCACCACTGAAAGTCAAGACAAAGGTGTCTCAAGTTAGGCAAGCAGAATTAGCAATCTCTTCTGAAAATAGTTTCAGAGTAGTAGACGTATTAGTCTGTATCAGCAAAAACAATGAGGAATCCTTGTGGCACCTTAGAGCAGGGGTGGGCAAACTACAGGCCACATCCGGCCCGTCAGGGCTTTGGATCCGGCCTGTGGGACTGCCACCCCAGTGGTGCTGTGGGCCCCACGCCGCTCCTGGCAACACCTGGCACCACATCCCTGGGGGGAAAGGGGGGCAGGGGGTACTGCCCCCCACAGCTCCCATTGGCCGAGAATGGGGAACTGCAGCCAATGGGAGCTTCGGGGGAGGTACCCACAGGGGAGCAGGCGAGGGCAGCGCGCGGAGCCCTCTGCCCCCTCTTCCCCCAGAGGCTGAAGGGAGATGGTGCTGTCCGCCTCCAGGAGCGGTGGGGGGCCAGGGCAGGCAGGGAGCCGGCCTTAGCCCTACTGCGTGCTGCTGCCACCCCAGAGCCCGCACCCCGAATCTCTCCTGCACCCCAACCTCCTGCCCTGAGCCCCCTGCACCTCCTCTCTGCACCCCAACCCCCTGCCCTGAGCCCCCTCCTGCACACCACACTGTTTGAAGGTATACATTGTCCCCAAATATGAAATAGTTGTGGATGAGGACAAAGTCACAAAGTTCAGCTACCAGGTTTGCTGTGACATTATCAGGGATACTGTTCCTGATGGCTTGTAGTCCATCTTTGTGTGGAATGTGGTAATTAAAAGTGGCAATTCTTCAACAACGAAAACTTCAAAAACAGACTCCAATGAGAAACTGCAGAACTGGAATTAATTTGCAAACTGGACACCATCAAATTAGGCCTGAATAAAGACTGGGAGTGGATGGGTCACTACAAAAAAGTAATTTTTCCTCTGCTGATACTCACAGCATCTTATGAACTGTTGGGAATGGGCGACGTCCACCTTGATTGCATTGGCCTCGTTAGCACTACAAAAGTAATTTTCCCTCTGATATTCACCCCTTCTTGTCAACTGTTTATAATAGGTTTCAGAGTAGCAGCCATGTTAGTCTGTATCCGCAAAAAGAACAGGAGTACTTGTGGCACCTTAGAGACTAACAAATTTATCTGAGCATAAGTTTTCGTGGGTACAGCCCACTTCTTTGAATGTAGCCCACGAAAGCTTATGCTCAAATAAATTTGTTAGTCTCTAAGGTGCCACAAGTACTCCTGTTCCTTTTGTTGATAATAGGCCACTTCCAGCTTAACTGAATTGGCCTTGTTAACACTGACCCCCCCACTTGGTAAGGCAACTCCCATCTTTTCATGGGCT